TCCTCCAGCAGTCTAAGCCTATAGCAGCATAACTATAGAGATAGCTCAGGAAAGCTTTTAACCGATTTTATTTATTTATTTATTTATTACTAGATTTTGTTTCACAGGTTTGAAAGTGTTTATATATTTGGATAAATGTTCTATAGGAAGTTTCACCTCCCTACACATTTCTGTTGCCATTAATAAACATATGTTTGATCACTCTTTCTATATAAAAAATGTATAGTCTATTTGATTGGTTGGATTTTTGATGCAGATTTTTTAATTGTAGTCCATAAATATCAAGCTAGATTGAGGACAGGATATTTCTAGTCTCCCAACCACTCTCTGTTAGCTTTAATCACACATTGAAACATTCCTTTGTGCTTGTGTAAATTCTCTGTCATCCAGGTCATGTCGACCACAAAGCGGCTCAAATCAGAGGCAGACAGACTTTCACACTTTTACACATTTTGACACTTATCCAGAAGTCTTCATTAGCTCTGTCAGCTGTCAGTAGAGCAACCTTCAGTTGAAGTATGATGTTTTCAATCACCTGGAGGCACATCCTCCTAAGCACATTCCAAGCTAGATGCCGACATGGTTAATTTTATCTGGCCTAATATAGCTCGGAGTGCTCGGATTCCTACATTGCAGGAAACCAAACAACAACTAATCAAACGAATGAAAGAACTGAAAAATATCATGAAGTTTTGAAACATTTAAAAAAAAACAGAGTAAAACTGCGGTCGCCTCTGATTTAAGCCTGTTTTGTCAAAGTGATCCTAAAACTACAGAGGTTGATGAAGTGATTATAATTCTGCTCAGACCAAGTGTCAACTTTCGGTTCAGGTCGTCAGACCAGTTTAATTGCGATATTTCATTACAGTCATTATAATCTGGCCTAATTTGTTGAATTACAGTTTCGCACTTTACGTGGAGATGGTATGTAATCTGAGCAATCAACAGGTCGTAATCCCTGATACAGCTTGGATTAACATAAGTCACATTCTTACCTTGCTTTCTCAAAGCGTAGCTTTTGTAATTTTGGTTAAAGGTTTAGTCTTTGTCTCATCCAACCTTAAAGCTTTTCTCCTGAAGATGTTTGGATTCTCAGCATCTTAAGCTAAAGATTAAAATAATCTTAAAGGTTTCAGTTTTGGAAAAAAACTCTTCTTTTTTAGTTGGCAGTTCAGATTGTTGTAACATTCACTTTACTCTGAACATACTGATGTCCCTGCATCTTCCAGGGTGAAATTTACTTTTCTATAATGATTAAATGCAAAATTGCAAACCTTGCTTATTCTTCAGGTTCCTTAAATAGAGGTATAGGCTTAGACTGTTTTTAACAGATTTTCTTTTAGTTTGATTTTTGTGGCCAAGAGAGAGGCACCTTTTTGTTTTCATTTATAACTCTAACCTTTTGCATTTACAATCCCAAAAACTTGATCTTATTTATTCTTTTATCCTGTATGAACAGGAGAAAATATTTTCAATAGAGTTTTCGATATTTGATCGGCCAATCACAGATCAGAGTAAATTAAGATAAACATTTCATTAACTCTTCATGTGACCTGTATTATTTTCCTGGTAGTTTTCTTATTGGTATCGATGGACATTAGAAAAACAACCCTGATATATATGTTTTGGGAAACAAAAATTATCCTTATTATTGTTTATTGTATTGCAGTTAAATCATTTTCACTTTCTGCCAATGAATGAACTCTGCTCTCGTTTAGTGCTGTCTTGACCCAGTCTGCTTAAACTGTTGTTAATCTGCATGTAGGCTTTTTTTTTTAAAAAAAAGGAACTTTTCCACACTTTTTAATCAATTCATTTATCATGTGACTGTGTTCCCCCCTCAGGGAGTGGATCTCTCAAAGCTGATGGATGCCGGTGCGTTTATCTGCCGAACCCTCAACAGGAAGACCAGCTCTAAGGTGGCGCAGGCCACATGCAAACTATAGAGAATAAAAAAATGGACCTTTTTCCACAAGCTAAAGTTCATATCATCCTCCGTTTGTTAAATTAAACAATATTAATACACAGTTTGATTTAACGTCTCCTGTAGGTTTTTGTTTAACACTAAACTTCACTGAGCTTGGTTGTTCTGCGCTGTGATAAAGCTAAGATATTAGTGCCTTTGTACAAAATCTGTGTTTTAAGCTTTCACCTATGATCAGATGTGTTTTCATGTTATGCTTCTGTTACTTCATGGTCAGTATATGAAGATTGAGGATTTGACTTTTTCTTAATACATGATGAAAGAAACAGTCTAGAATAACTGTCAGAAAAAATAGTATTTGATGAAGAAGTCTGAGTGAACACAGTCATGTCTGAAGTTTGGGGAATGTAATCGTTCTTTTTTTTGTGTGTGTTTTAGCTTATTTATTTGAATTATCTTAATTAAAAGTAAATTTATATTGATATAAATGTTGTAAGTTTTATGAATGGAAGATGAAGATGACATGCACTAACCAATGTCCCCAAGGGCCTGTTGGCATTTGAAGGTTTTCCTCACATTCATCTAATTCTTTTTCTGTTGTATCTACCGGTAATTGTTAATTATAAAGAGCAACACACATTTCCTGCTTTTAAATAAATGTTGTCTTTTACACTTTGTAGATTCTCCAAAAGAAAAAAAATTCCATTAATCTAAACAAGATAATTAGAATTTTACGCCATTTTAAATGAATACCTTTAGATTTAAATTTTCACTCCACAGGTTTAGTTCTTCCCTTCCTCACATATAAAAGCATATTTAACAAAAATTGTGGCTGGTGAAAGCTGTAAGTTTGACTTCAGGTTCCTCCCCTGCTGCTGCAAAGTTCAGGCATGCACAAAGTCGGTCCTTGACCGCTGCTGTCCTTCAGGTTTTAGAGGTTTCTCTGCTTTAGCACAGCTGATTCTGATGATTGCAGTTCAGCAAAAGCCTGTTAATAGGAATAGGAATACCTGCAGGACAGCGGCCCTCAAGCGCCGACTATGGGCATGCATTGGAATGAATGCAACTCTACAGTTAAAACAATGAAGGGTTTCTGTCGCCTGAGGAGTCATTGCACAACTTTTACTTTTTTTTTGTCACGTAAGTCCTTTTAATTCTCTAAATGTTTCTTACATGCATGATGCCGCAATGACCTCAGTGTCATGAAATGAAGGTGTTTCTGATCTCAAACTTCGATTCAGAATAAGTAAAAAAAAAACGTTTTAGATTCTAACAAAACTCACCTTTATCAGGTATCAAAATTAAAAATGTTACATTGTTCGGCTTTAGGAATACATTAAATCCACTTTGGTAAAAGTTTGATTAACTTAAAGGAAGCTTAAAAAAATAAGACTTTGTAAAAAGTAAATTTTACTTCAGTTAAAAAGTAAAATAGAGATTTTGTTTTTTTGAAGATAACGAAGGTGATCTTGGGTTTTTATTTTATCTCTTCATAAAAATTGAAATTATGGCAGGAGGGATTATAAAACATTCTTCCTAAACGTTGGATTTTGTTTCCCCAGCTTGTGAAAGCAAATTAACTTAACCCTGTAATGCCAAATGTATCATATTTGATACATACGGTTTCTGAAATGTTTTGCGTCTGACACCT